AGGCAAGCCCAGGACGAGATGACTAACTAGACCAACTGACTTTCTCAACTGAGAAAAATCTATGTCAGTATTTAAAGGACAGATGGAAGGAAGGAGAGGACACATAATAGCAACCTTGATCCTCCATATGACTATGAATACACATGTGCAAAATATCTCAGCTTTGTGGATAGCAATGCCACTGTTTCAGCTAATTGCTTCACTATTGCTATGGGGAGACAGTATGTGATTGAATGGGCATGATGGTTTGTCGATAAAACTTTATTTAAAAAAAAGTGAACACTGCCCAAGGGTAAGAAAATGAGAAGTGCAAAAGGGAATGCGATTTGTGGGTTGACAAATATCAAGTGACAGCTTGTCCGTAAAACAGGAAGCTGTCTCTCGGTGTGTAAAAGCTTGGGGTAGCTTGAGTTTAAGAGCAAATCCATAATCTCTAAGTGAATAGATTTGACCTGGAGCCCACTCCACAAGTGTTCTATGATCATCAGAGAAGCTTCCTCCTGCAGGAAGTGGGAACAAATACAGAGACCCACAGCCAGCCATCATGCAGAGAATGAGAGGCCTTGGGATGCCCAGCCATAAACAGGGTGTCTCCATCAAATCTCTCCCCTTAGAGTTCAGAGAACCCCAAAGAGAAGGCAGAAAGAGTGTAAGAGCCAGGAGAGCAGGAGGACCCCGGGAAAACAAGGCCCTCAAAATCAACATGATCAAAGCATACATGAACTCGCAAGGCTGAGGCAGCAGGCACAGGTCCTGCACAGGTCTGCACCAAGTCCTCAGCGTGCGTATTAAAGCTTCCAGTTAAGTGTTTCTCTGGGATTCCCGAGTGTGTCATAGAGTAGACCTCTATTCTTTGTGACTTTCACGGGCTCTTTTACTTATGTTTGCTTGTTTTGTCTGTATCCAAGCTGTTATGTTTTGGCCTACTTCACAATATTTATTTTATTATTAAACCTTAGAAGTCTGAGAGTCAGAAAGTGGGTACATCTGGATGGGAAATGAGGTAGGAAGGAACTGAGAGAAGTAGAGGAAGGTGAAATCATAATCAGGATATGTTATGTGGGAAAAAAAAAGCCTTCCAGTAAAGAGAAGCCTTCCCGCCAGCCTGGTTCCAGAGCCGCATCAGTCCCAAATAAACACACAGGAGGCTACATTAATTATGAAGCTGTTGGCCTTGCTTGTTTCTTACTGGCTAGCTCTGCCTTAAGTACTTACCCCATAATTGTTAATATAAGTATTTCTCTTACCAGAGAAATTTCCGGGCTTCCTACTCCATGGCAGTTACATCTCGACTCCCTGTGTTTCTCCTTCCCAGAGTCCTCCTGGACTCCTAGTCCTACCTATCTTGCTTCCCTATTGGCCAACAGTGCTTTATTGACATATACACAGGACTTCCCCAACACCTTTCATTTTTAATAGAAAGGAAAAAAGAAAAACTGATGGAAGCAGTTCCTCAGCTGAGATCCCCTTTCCAAGGTATGTCAAGAAGATAACTAAAACTAATTAGTATAAAATACAAGGCAAAATTCTGAACTGTGTCCTCTATGGAAATGAGAGAGTACAAGTTAAAAAGAAACATAATGGCATTATAAATGAAATTTGTATATGTAGATCATATTAGTTAATGCTTTTTCCAGGCTAAATTTTCTAGATTTCATTACTTAAAAGAGTATAATGGTTTAGTTTTTAATTTTCCTTTCGTAGACAGACATGGTGAAATATTTAAGGGTAAGGGGTACAATGTCTCCAATGTATTTTTAAATATTTCAAGAAAAACATACAAGTGTGAATAAATAAATAGATACAGCAAATAGTAAAGTAAATAGGGCAACACATAGCACATAAATAATAGATGACATAGGGTAAATGGGAACTATGAGTAGGGCCTTGTACTTTTTGGCAATTTGATCATGAGCTTCAAATTCTGTAAAATTATGGGTACTTTAACTGCCCTTCCCCTATAATCAGATTGGTGACTGCCTTAATGGCCATCACAGAGCCTTCATCCAGTAACTGAAAGAAACAGATGCAAAGATCCACAGCTAAGCACTGGGCGCAACTCCTGGAGTCCAGTTGTGGAGAGGGAGGAGCGATAATATGAGCAAAATGGTCAAGACCGTATTGGGGACACCCACAGAAACAGCTGATCTGAGCAAGTGGGAGCTCACTGATTCCAGACTAACATCTGGGGAAGCCACATAAGACTGAACTAGACCCCCTGACTGTGGGTAACAGTTGGGGGCCTTGGGCAGTTTATGGGGCTGCTGGCAGAGGATCCAGTATTTATCCCTAGTACATGAACTGGCTTTTTGGAGCCCATTTCCCATGGAGGGATACCTTGCTCAGCCTAGATACAGGGAGGAGGGCTGTGGTCCTGCCCCAAATGATAGGACAGACTTTGATGATTCCCCTTGTGAGGCCTTACCCTCTCTGAGGAGTGGATGTGGGGGAGGGAGATGGTTGGGAGAATGGGCAGACCAGAGAAAGAGGGAATTGGGTTGGTATGTAAAATAAGATTGTTTCAAAAATAAAAACAACAAAACAACAAAATGTGTACTATGGGGCTTCCAGCTTAGCTCGGTAGTAAAGCACTCACCAATCAAAACCTGAGGCCCTAAGTCAGATCCCAGACACCATTTTATGTGTGCATGTATAAGTGCACACATGAGTGTGCACACACACACACGCACACACACACACGCACACACGCTCATACACACACACACACTCATACACACACACTCACACACACACACGCTCCCCCCCACACACACACTCACACACACACACGCACGCACACACACACACACACACACACACACACACACACACACACACACACACACACTGAAACTATAGGTGAGAGGATTGCCAGGACCAGATCAGCAAGGGCTGCACAAATAGACCTGTCTCAAAAAAGATCAGTTTAAGATCCATCCTGTGGACTAGCAGACTAAATGTTACAAACACAACATTTTTTTTCAGATACAAATATATTTACACAGGATAATTGCACTTTAAAGAATTGAATGAAAAACAAAAATAGGACATAAGCATCATTTACTGAGAAACCATGAAGTAACGCAAAATTAACTAGTGCTAAAGCAAATATATAATCTTAACCGTAAAATACAAATTTAATAATCAGTTACTAGGTGTTGGGACTTGAAAGTGTTAACCTGTTTTTAAGTCTCCTAATCCACAAAGAACTCACACTCAGGTCAAGAAGCATTAATGGGGGAAACTTGGACAAAAGAAGAAAATATTGTCATTGAAGTAAGTGCCTTCTACAGAAAACAAGGTCCAGGCACGATTTCTGTTTAAATATGGCATCTTGAGTAGCTCACAGACTACAGTTAGGTCATTAGACCTAACACAAGGTTCCAGTTAACCGTGAGGGGAAAACAGAGACTTGTGACAGAGAAAAGTTAAGGGCAGGAGAAAGAGGAAGGGAACAGAGTCAGTCTACTGATGTGTCCCCTAAAGTGGTCCATGGGATGCACCTCAGTAGGAAAATCACCTCTTGTCTCTCCTTCATGAAGCCCAGGCACAACAGGAAGAGAAGGAGGGAGAGGGAGAGGGACGGAGGGAACATCAGTGAACTTTTTGCAAGGGACTCTTAGTTCATCTCCCAGCACCCATGGGGCAGCTCACCACCCCTAACTCCAGTTCTGGGGGATCCAGCACCCACTTCTGGCCTCTGTGGGCACTGCATGCGTGTGCTACACACATACAGGCAAAATCTCTCATACAATCGAATCTACATTCACAAGTCAAGTAGAAAAGTTTTTGTCTACCGTAACTTTATTTGCTATTTCTGCTTCACCCATTTCAAAAATCTGGTTTTTGGATCTTACATGTTCTTTACCATTATTTTTCACCCCCTTTTCTTTGGTCCAGCACAGGGAGGACGCTATTCCACACACCAGGTTGTTTGAGGTCCTGTGATGCCAACAACTTTTAAACACAGCTTTTCATTCTCCTATGATGACTTTGTTTAACAAAAGCTCTTCCTTACCCAACTGTCTCTCCTTCAAATCTTAACTTTGTTTCCCATCCAATGACAGTCCTGCTTCAAAGAGGCAGTTTCTGCTTTCATTGCCCCGGGCATATGAAACAAACAGGTTCTCTTGAGTCTAATCAGGAATCAGTTTTCCAGTGAGTGTGGGGTGCATACCTTTGATTCCAGCACTTGGGAGGCAAAGGCAGGCAGATCTCAATAAGGAGGCCAGCCTGCTCTACAGAGCCAATTCCGGGCCAGTAAAAACTATCCAATAAGACTTCGTCTCAAAATTAAATAAAAATAAAACAAATTAATTTTGGAAATACCCTCTTTCTCTGAGCCTTTAAATTGGCAATTCTTTGCCTTTTTCTCATTGATTTGTGCAAACCCGACAAAACCCTCTCCTCATAGCAAACGATTGGATGGCACACTACAGACCTCCATGATATGTTGCCCTTGGACACAGAGGGCAATAAGCTTCACCTTACTCCTAAAAGTCTTCTATCTTCCACACAATTGATTAATCAATGTAAACACATTTTTAAAAAGCTCAAACAGGTGAATGTCTTTCTTCAGTTGGCTTACTCTGAGGATCTAAGGTGTCTTCCTAGTTGTCCTACTTGTCATATGGTGAAAACTACAAATGGCAAGGAATTTGGTAGACCTGTGGCTTAGAGAACAGACTATCTAGACCCTGGCCTTATTTCTTATATTATTTTTTTGAGTCTACCATATTTTGTCTTTGTAATGCTCCCATTGGTATTTTAAGGCACAATTAGAAACAGCTATTTTCCAATCAAATATTATCTAAAAATGCATCGTCATTGTAGACTCTCAAGGATATTTGATGTCAGATATGAGGGGTGAGTGAATAACCCATCACATCCGCCTAAACATGTTTACCAGCATGAACATTAGAGAAATCTCAATATGTCTGTATATTACAGGAAACTGTCATAATTCTAGTTTGTGTAAAAAAAAAAACCAGTGGCCTCAATTGTTTTCCATCTTTATTGCCTCAGAGAGCTAGTGGTTTTAAGCAATAATGATTTCATTTTGATCAACTGTTTTTCACATCTTTCCAATCATGTTTTATATTTTTTTTCCATTTAGCCCATCCAGTAGCAAGCAGTTATGAAGGACTGATTAAGTGGGAGGCTCTGAGGCAGGACTACAGATGCTGAGCCAGAGTGGGACTCTTAATAACGTATGGTGAATTCATGAAGACAGATGACAAAATAAACCTTTACACCGAGTTCCAGAAATCTTTTCTGAATGTATGCATATGGTGAAAACAAATATAAAGTAGCAAGATCAAGGTTTTCTTTTTATCAACAACTTAGATTAACATTATAAACATTGTGTTGAAGGCTGACTTTCTTGTTTAATTCCAATCAACTTGATTCCTATTTAATAAAAATCCATTGTGAGCAAAACATTCCATTTATTCCTGTGTGAAATGAAAAGAAAAATTAGACAAAATATGAATTCTCAAGGTGTTTAGTCTAGTAGACAACACAGGATATAATTACCTTACAATAAAGCACACAGAATTTTACAGAAGTCCAGGAACTGAGAAGACCAATAACATGATAAATGACCCTCAGCTAAGTAGTTTAATTTTTTTGAATAGGACACTAATTATTAACATTTCCCAAGAAGCTTCTAGAATTTAGTCACCATAAAGGATGCTTTTTGTACCTAGTCACTAACAGTTGGCCTGATCTTCATAGGTTCAGGGGCCTAACCAAAAGAGAAAAATGTGTTTGAACTTTGATTGGAATCCTTCTACCCATTTATTGGATTGGAATACCAGAGTCAGGGTTCAGGATAATAAAATTAATCAGTGTAAATACATTGAAAGTCAAGTACTTTAGAGAAATAAAGACAGAACAGACCATGCTCAGTCCTGAACAGTTCTCTCGCTATTGGACTGTGTAGCAGACCTGGCTCTTGGCCACACACAAATGTAAACTTTCCTAGCACAATCCAGACTCACAGAAGAGTAGTCAGTGGATTATAAATCAAGTGTCGTGTCTTTTACATTGTATACATCCGACCTCCAAAGAATGCAACCAAGATAAACACATTAAATTTTGCTTCTGAAATATGAAGAGATAACAAGTGTTTTGTTTTTTGTCTTGTTTTGTTTTGTTTTTAAGGATCAGAATAAATGTTGGCCTGGATTCCCTGTAGCCAAAAAATATGATTTCTTTTATTCTATAGATACAAACTTTAAAAAGTTGTTCAGGAAATAGCTGGGTCATGACATTCTTCTCTTAGTTGGTTTTCCATCAAAACAAGTTCATTGCTACATCTATAGAATTGTGAAAATTCACAAATATTTTAGTAGGCCATTTTGAATACTGATAACCTTTCAAAGTCTTTATTTTATTGTGCAGTGGTGTTGTTTAGGATAAGAGCAGTTTGCTTAATGGAGTGACTCAGAGGCATCTCAAGCCCACCAGGAAGACTATGAGGTTCTGCCTTTCATTCTTATAAGCCAAAGTAGTGCTTATCACCATAATCAGCCTCTCTTCTTAAACACATTCCCCAGGCCTAGATCCTATAAATAAGATCTGAGCTGTATTTTCCTCTCAAATTATTTTCCATTGTCCTTTTAAATAAACGTGCATGTGTGTATGTATGTATATGTGCGTGCATGTATGTATGTGCATGTGTGGACATATATGTGTATATGTATATGTGTGTGCATGTGTACATGTTTGTATGTACTGTATATATGTGTATGCATGTTTGTGTATATATATATGTGTATGTGTGTTTTTTGTATGTGTATATGTGTGGATGGATGAATAGATGGATGGATGTGTGTATGGACGAATGAATATCTATCCCATGGGAGGGGTGTCATGAATTAAAGGTACATCTGATTGCTTAATAGTTCGATGAGTCATATGGGGGCATGGAAAATGTGTCTTATTTCTCAGCTCCTTGGAGACACACAGGGAGAGAGAGAACGGACACTTTGCTGAGGGAAGTAATTTCATTTTAAAGTGATGAACATTTTCTTTCTAATGGCTGCTAACAGAATGGTGTTTATTGTGTCTCACATTCTGCAGAAATAACCCCCAGATAAAATATAAATACATCGTGGGGCTTCCTTTCTCTCTTTTTCTCTTATTATTGAGACGTCAACCACTGGACTACGAGTTTTCGCTTACTGCCTCTTTGAATTAAGACACTGCCTCACCATTTCGACTTTCCAAGGCCTGCCAACACCTTTGCCACTCCTTAAATTTGTTCATAAAATGTCAAAGGTATAAAATATAAATAAAAAATAAAAACGCTACTGCAAAATTATTCCGTTCTTATGAGGATAAATGTAAGGTTTTTTTTTCAATAGTTGGACTTTGCTCTCTTAAGAAGTCTTGCTTGTTCATATAGTGAGCTTCTCAACTCAAGCACCAGTCATATGGAAGATAAATTTGTTTGATCCATCACTGCAGCTCTGGTTACTGTACCTATTTTTATGCCACACACTGGTATGTGTGAGATGGCAACAGAATATTTGGAATTTATTTTTGGAAAAAAAAATTATAAAGTAGATAGGATTGGAACAGACCTTAAACCCGTTACGCTTTTAAGCAACCCACCTAGTATGAACCTACTCTGCCCAAGGACGTCTGAGTGCATGTTGGTGAATCGCTGCCGAGGGCAGGAGTGGACAAATGCTGAAGCAGCTTCTGGAGTTATTGGGGAATTTCTCCTGAGCATTCCAAAGCCATTTAAAACAGTGAGCAGGACCCGACGCTGCAGGCTTCAAAGTGCTATTTCAAGGCCCTCCAAAAAGCAAATAACTAAAACTCTTCCTCAGGATACTTGCTCACATTTAAAAGAAAGAGTGGTCTGGGTCCTGGAAAAATTGACTCCATGTATGCCTTCCATATTGGAAAGTGAAAGAGAAGTCCAGTCCCTTGTGAGGAGGAAACTACAAGGAGCCAAGGCGAACTGCCTAACATGCACCTACCAAAGAGACAGTGGGAAGGGTTGGAGGAGATGCAACAGTGGCCCACTTGAAAAATGAGTTTCCTAAAAACTCTGTTTGCCTTGTGGTCGTAACCTTTTATTCATTACAGCCTTCAAATTCGGTGGGGGAAGCAGGGGCAGTTCTGCACCTTAGTCCTTTGGGGATTTCAAAAGGAAAAAGAAAAAAAGTGAATGTAGCTATGAACTCTGCTCATCTTCAAACTAATGGGCTCTCCCCTCCCTCCCCGTAGTACCCCCCCAGCACCCTTTGTCCACTTTTATGAATTAAAACAAGCACACACACTTGCACACACAGGGAATCCTGCCATTAATTAAAGGACTTGTCAGCCCCAATCCCAGATCCTTACAGTGCAGGAAATGTGCCTCCTTTTAAGTGCAAAACCATAACATTACCATTTCCCCAAGTGCGCTCTGTTTTAGGCTGCTTTCCTAATTAGAGGGATGCTAACAGCCGCGCTGATTGGCATTATAAAAGCACTAGTTTGGCTTCGTCTGTCCCAGGTGTGCTGTGTAATTTTTTTCTTCTCACCGGTTCAGAGCGGCACCTCTCTCCTTCATTGTTCCTTAAAGTTTTCATCTGAGGAATTAATACAGATAAAAAGACATGAGAAAGGAAGCGGCCGTGCCAGGGTTCATCACCCAAACCTTTTATCAAAAGTACAAACTATACAAGTTAGAGGATTTTTTTTACCCTTTTGTTTCTGAGGGTTAAGGGAGTGGGAGGGGATGGTGTGTGGAGAGGAGAGGAGAGGAGAGGCTGGGGGAGAAACACCGCTCTGTCAATGGTCTGAATGCACCATTAAAATTGGCGTCACTACAAAGGTTAGAGCAGATCTAACTGTCAATACAGTGAGGAGAGTGGAGTCCGGTAAGGGGGAGCTTTGGAGAGAGACATACTTTGATATTTTGGAATGTTAGAAGGGTGAATGTGAAAAATTGGAGGTTGGGGATCTAATTACCCAACCATAATTGGGG